GCCTTGCCCCGAAACCTCCACCTTTCCAAGCTATAAAACACACAGAATTGAAAGTTGACACCTAACTTAGTCTTCACTGGATACAGATGTTCAATGTAAAGTTTTGTTCAAGTGTTGATGGAGACCAGAACGGCTAAGAACCATGGGTCCAAAGCGGCACAACTGGGAACCACAGCGTCTGGGAAATCACGGATGGCTTTTAAAATGAAAACTCTCTTTTTTTCGTAAAAAATTCTTCGTAGTTTATTGTAATCATCTAGTCACTTAACATAAAAGGCAATCTTTAAATTGCCGTGGAGCCCAATCAAGTGAGAGCACCCTGAGTTCTCTCCCAAATGTAAAACATGAGCATTTTGTAAACGGATCATTCAGTAAAACCATTCAAGAACTTAGTGTAGTTTGTTTACCTTGAAACTCTCATGCATCTCAATAAACTGTTTATTTTAGGCAACTATTTGCAGCACTTATTTTTCTTACCTGTTTTCAAGGTAATTTTCTTATTAGCACACTCAGGCTGACACGGGGACTCCAGCACACAGTCTGTTGTGCTGGCTTTCTGTGCTTCGAGACAACTATGTCCCTTTCTGAGTTCACTTAACTGCATGAAATTTTGAAATAAAAGCAGCTCTGCACAGGCAAACATCTGTGGTCAGCACTTAGTGCCACGGATGCTTTGCCACCTGCAGAAGTCATTATCTTAACCAGAGGCTAAAACGTGAACTATACAGTAGGGAACAGAGAGCATGAAACCTGATTTCTTTTCCCTCTTACACACCCTCCCCCCAAGCTGCATGAAAATCATTTTAAACAGATGTTGCTTAAAATCCAAACATATTAGATACTGTCAGTTTAAATAAACAGTTTATCCAGGACTCCGTTTGGATGATATTTATGTGGTCATGGAATTGGACTACTTGCATTTTTCTTAAGATAAAACAAATAAGCCTGAGTGAGCCCCCAAAGTTTCATTCATGTTTTCCAGCAGAGGTTTACCAGGTATAGATCACACGAACACAGTGCAATTACCTCTGGTGCAATTTCATTTATATATATTGGTCTTTTTGAGACAGGGTCTCCCTGTAGCCCCAGGTGACCTGGAACTTGCTCTGACATTTCATTTATATTTATTGACTGACAGAGTCTTGATCTTGAACTTCCTTCCTCCTGCCTCTGCCTTCTGAGTGCTGGGATGACAGATTGCAACACCTTACCCCGTGTTTTCAATACTGTTTGGACCCCAGGCTTCTGGTATGTCAGGTGAGCACTCTATGAGCTGAATGACATCCCCAGTCCTGTAGGAGATTGTTCTAGTTTGCCTTCTACTGCTGTGATAAAACACTGACCAAAACCAACTTGAGGAAGAAAGGGTTTATTGCATCTTACACCTTCAAGTGACAGTCCATCTTTGAGGGAAGTCAGGCAGGAACTCAGGGCAGGGACCTGGAGGCAGGAGTTGAAGCAGAGACTATAGGAGAACGCTGTTTACTGGCTTGCTCCCCTGACCTGTGCTCAACCTGCTTTCTTATACAATACAGGAGCACCTGCCCAGGTGTGGCAGCACCCACAGTGGGCTGAGTTCTCCCACATCTCTCAACAATCAAGACAATGCCTCACAGACAGGCCCACAGGACAGTTGATAGAGGAAATTCCCCAGTTGAGGCCCCTCTTCCCGGGTGTGTGAAGGGGACAATGGAAGTCATCCAGAACAGACACTTTTTAAAGATATCTCCAGAGATTTATTTCATGATGAGAAAAGTAAGAACTTTATACAAAACATGTCACCTGTAAAAACAAAAGAAATTTGTTTTTGACATGCACCAAAAACAAATTCTATCCAAGAGAATGACTCTGCAGAGGAGAGTAGTGAACGGTTAAGGAAAGATGGAACTTGGCTGGGGAGAAAGCAGGCTGGACACTGACGGTGGGGTCCACGCCTGACGGTGGGGTCCACACAGGAACAACAGAACGGTCTGTGAGGGGAAAGGTCAAGGGAGAGTGTGGGCAGACATTGAGCATCCTGCTAGGAAGGTGATCAGAGGCATCTCGGAAGGCATTTGGCTATTGGGATAAAGTGTGGGGACAGTGCATGCTGCATAGAGGAGGGGGAGGAAGGAGGTGGAGGCTGTTCAATAAAGACATTTCAATGAAGAAAAACCCAGAGAAGACGGTGTTGTTGCAAAGCAGTGAGTGTGGTGTACTTTGAAAGAGAAGCTGAATGTGACTGGAGAGATGGCTCAGTGGTGACGAGCACTGGCTGCTCTTGAAGAGGACTGGGCTCGGTTCCCAGCACCCACATGGCGGCTCACAACCCTCTGTAACTCCAGTTCTAGAGGATCTGATGTTCTCTATGGCCTCCAGAGACACTGCATGAATGTGGTACCTTTACATACATGAAGGCAAAACATACACGTAAATGAATGTAAATAAGTAAATTAATTAGTTAATTAAAAAGGAAGAGACATTGAAGACAAAAAAAAAAAAAAAAAAAAAAAAATATAAAAAAAAAAAAAAAAAAAAAAAAAAAGCCCTGGCTCTTGCTAGCACGTTAGGCATCAGACATGAAGGTTTTAGTCAAGATTATGGCATCAGCAAAGAGATGGTCAGAGTCTCCAAGACTTTTGACTTTTAAGGTGCGGACAGCAAGGCCAGCTAAAACAAATCAACTCTGAAGAAGCAAGCGAAGAACGAGGCCTGGGAAGCACAGCGCTGGCGGGCGTGGGAAAGCGCATGGGCGGGCGCGGAAGGAAGCCAGGGCCGTTCTGTTGTCGTGGTTGGCTGAGGACTGGATCCTGGCACTAAAGGGTATTGAGTTCTGTGGGGGATGATAAAAATTGTCCATAATTAAGATGATAATGGTGTGACTAAATATACTCACACTACTGAATTACACACCGTAAACGACTGAGCAATGAGGTCTATGCGGAAGATCCCGGCAGCACCGGCACAGAAGGAAGAGGGGAGGAAGTAGTTGTAAGAACGATATAAGAGAAGCCCATGACTTTTAGCTGGGATTCAGTCCAGCGCAGGGATGATGAGCTGTGAATCTTGCTTACAAAACCATTAACCAAAGCCGTGAAGAGCTCTGTCAGGGGAGGAAGAAATGAGCCCTGGACCTAATGAGTCCCAGTTCAAGACTGGCCAGAAGGGGCATTTCTTAAAAGGTTTTTGGTTTTTACTGAGACTTTATCTTTTGCGCTATTTTTGCCCGAATTTTAATCAAGAAATCCACATCGATACTGTTTATAGAGGTTCAAGACCTTGGCCAGTTTCTAGTAATGATTTATTTATTTTTATATACCGTAGTTCTATTTAATGAACAAAAGAGAATTTGGTTTTGTGTGGGGATGGTGTTGTGTGTGCATGTGCATATGTGTTTGTGTGCATGTATGCACACTTACTGTTTCTTTTTCCAAGCTGGTGGAGGCCAGAGGTCCATATCAGTGGTCTTTCTCTGTTGATCTCCATCCGGTTTTGAACCTGCAGCTCAAAGATTCCACTAGGCTCTCTGGCCAGCAAACCCCGGCGATCCTGGTCCCTACCTTCTCAGTGCTGGCTTTACAGGCTTGAACCACTGCGCTGTGATTTCTACATGGGTGCTGGGACCCCCAGTCAGGTCACTGTGCTTCCACATCAGACACTTTACAGACTGAGCCATTTCCTCAACCTTCTCTGTTTTGTTTAGATTTGTGTTTTTGCTGTTGAGACAGGGTCTCATGTGTCCCAGGTTAGCCTCCAACTTGCTGTGTAGCCAAGGGTGATCTTGAACTTCTGATCCTCCTGACTCCACCTCTTGAGTGCTTTGATTGCAGTTGTTCACCAGCACGTGCCGTTCAAGGCAAGCACTCTAGTGTTGGTGTTATAAGCAGATATATACTAGATGTGCAATACCAGTGCTGCTTTTCAAGAGAAGATGATTGAAGAACTACCGGGGATAAGAACTGAACTGGTTAGAGAGGTCCATGTCATCACATGCCCAGAGGGAGCATGGGTGTAGTTTGAAAGGTGTTATAGGTGTAGAGAGATGGCGCTGTGGTTAACACTGGGTGCTCTTGTACCTAGGTGGAGCTGACAACCACCTGTAATTCTAGTTCCTGGAGATCCAGTGCCCCTTCTGTGCTTCCCAGGCATTTCGTGGTTGTGGTGCCCTTACATACGTGCAAAAGAAACACTCATACCCCTAAAAATAAATAAAATGTTTCGAAAGATTTTATTTTGTTTCCATGTGAATACACAGTCCCTGCCAAGACTGGTTCTTTGAGCTTCATTGGTGCTTTTCATTACCTCGGGATACCGAATGGTAGGAGGGTTTGACCCAGGACGCCATTTGCCCCCTTAATGTGGAATACAGGTTTTGTATAGTTAGAACTGTCTTATGCAAACATGAAATGTTGAGGTTCTAACCACGGAAGGAAAACATTAAATGCCAAAGTCACTCTTATGATAAGTTTGTGCTTCAGATATGTCAAAATGAGCAAAAACGCCAGATAAAAATCGTGCCTTCAGTGTGAGTCTGATGCCCATGCTGGGGAAAGAGAGTGTGTTTGTAACATTTTTGTGTGTGTGTATGTGTGTAACCTTGTGTGTGTTTGTAACATTCTTGTGTGTGTTTGATTAGTGAAACCATATCCATATGTCTGTAACCTTCTATGGGTTTGTAACATTCTTGTGTGTGTTTGTAACATTCTTGTGTGTGTGTGTGTGTGTGTGTGTGTTTGTAACATTCTTGAGTGTGTGTGTAACAGTCTTGTGTGTGTGTAACATTCTTGAGTGTGTGTGTGTAACAGTCTTGTGTGTGTTTGTAACAGTCGTGTGTGTGTGTAACAGTCTTGTGTGTGTGTAACATTCTTGTGTGTGTTTGTAACAGTTATGTGTGTTTGTAACAGTCGTGTGTGTGTGTAACATTCTTGTGTGTGTTTGTAACAGCCATGTGTGTTTGTAACAGTTGTGTGTGTGTATAACATTCTTGTGTGTGTTTGTAACAGTCTTGTGTGGGGTTTCAGGGAAAGAGATCACAGCTGAAACCTTCATGGAGAAATTGGATAATGGCGCCTTGCTCTGTCAACTCGCAGCAACTGTGCAGGAGAAGTTCAAGGAGACCATGGATGCCAACAAGCAGGCCAAGGTAAGAGAGTCTATGCAGCCTATGCAGAGGGAGTAATGAGAGGCCAGTTCTCCTGAAGTGATGGTCTCTGTGTGTACAGTCCTCCGTTAGTAATGGTGCTGTGTGCACAGTACTGCTGAGAGGTCAGTACTCCTGCAGTGATGGTCTCTGTGTGCACAGACCTCCTGAAGTAATGCATGGTTCTGTGTACACAGTACTGCTGAGAAGTCAATACCCCTGTAGTGATGGTCTCTGTGTACACAGTCCTCCCGTAGTAATGGTGCTATGTGCACAATACTGCTGCAAGGTGGGTACTCCTGTAGTAATGTGTGAATGGAGCTCTCGGTATGAGAATCTGGTATGAAGAGATGCATCCAGGTCTGCACTGACATCAAATCACAGCAGCTAGTGTGTAGCTTGGAAGCCTCTTAGCTGCACTTTAATTATATAAATTGCATAATGCTTTCAGTAATTCTGATTAGATAAAAAGTCACGGGAGACGGCTGTTCCTGGAAAGTACTGCACATGATCTGGCTACCTCTGATGTACTCCTTACAGCGTTAGAAGTGCAGTTGTGCCATCAGTCAGCAACAACAGAATACACGTCTGTCCGTGTAGCGCTTTGTTTTCAAAAGTGTTATGTCACAACGTTGGCATAAGACACCTGGAGGGCAAATTTTGTGTTTTAATGAGTTGTAGCATTAAACTAAACAACTTAAGACAATTTGCTTCATTTCTATTTGGTCAGATTTCTTTTTTGTGTATTTGTTCTAATATTCTTTTTTAATTATTATAATAAGCACAGGAGAAAAGGATATTTGGTATTTGACCAAGCAAGACACATGATGAAATTCTCAACGACAAGAGAAGCTTAAGAATTTTTCTAATTTTAATATGAATGGAAAAGAAGTAAAACCAGGTGAAGAGAATGTTAAAGGCAGCTTGAAGTCAGGGAAAAAAAAACCACTTGCCAATCAGCTCTGCAACTCTTTCTGAGTGGAGTTAGTTGTGTGTTTATCCTTATGTACTTGGCTTTGATGTATTTTACTTTTTATACATATGTAAATATAATTTAACTGTTTAAGATTTTCTTTTTTAAAGTTTTTTATTGGCATATATTGATTATGTATAATAATGATTAATTTTCTTATTTTATCTCACCTTGTAAAGTGTTATGTCCCAACCCCAACCCACTATTTTGTTTCTTTAAAAGCCTTTCTGTGAAGGTGGCACCAATCCCAAATCTAAACTGTTCACGACGACAGTCCCATGACCACTGTTAAGCCCTGAAGAACTTCAGCCCACCTCGACATAAGAACGCCCTCCCAGTGCAGAGGTCACTCTGATGACTGGCACATGGCTGATGAGTGAGAAACCATGCTGAACAGGCCAGTTTCTGTATAAAATGTACCCCAGAGCAGTCGGCAGAGGGGAAATGGTGTTGCAGCCCACTACTGACAGTACTAAGCGCCAGGTGCAGGCGCTAACAACCTGTATTTGTGTCTTTATTGTTGAGGTCAGAGAAACCAGTCCTAGGGCTGGGATCCCACAGAGAAACCACCTGCTACAGGAGCTATGTGGTTCTCTGGTTCTGTGTGTTTGCAAGTCTCCTTTCTTAAAACCAGAAGCAAAGATCCACAGGTCCAGCTGTGATTATAAAGCCATGAGATACAGGACAGGCCAAGAACGTGCGCTCAAGTCAGGGGCACTGTCTCAGCCCACCCAGCTGGAGTTGCACTGTGCTCACTATTAACTGCCTGTGTCTGTCTCCTTGTCTAACCTATAATGTGGGATTAGAAATCACTTATCATCCACAAAAGGCTTTGGATAGACCCTGCACCCCTTCCCTTGAAGGGTAGTTAGCAGACCCCAGTGGCAATTTTAGACTAACTAGGAGAAAAACCAGTGTTTTCAAATAATATTTAACATGATAGCTGCTATGAGCAAAGTGCAGACGTTTGCCTCAAATCCCCAAGATAATAACCAGATAATGTGTTGTAGGGTCAAGATCTAAAAATATTTTCATTGATTCTTTGAGAATTCCATTCATTTTGATCACATTCAGACCCCGTCGCCCATCTCCACTGAACCTTACTACCCTCCGACTTCATGTTCTCTGTTATTACTTTTCCTTTTAAAAGGCCCATTGAGTCTAATTTGTGTTTTGTTCCTTCAAAACATGTATTTCAAAATAATATAACTACAATGAATTTGAAAAACAAAAATTAACAGGAAAATTTTCTTTCAAACTCAGGAACATTCAATCAGATTTTATTAGACTTGAAGGGTTTTCTCAACCCTAAACAGTTTGCTTAGCTAAATATAAAACAAAAATGTACTTGATTGTGATAGATTATTTTAGTTCACAAGTAACTTTGTTCATTAAAGAGTGACAAATTGCAGCATTACTTTACTTCCAATGCTCAGAAGCCCAAATTTGACTTGAGTCCACTTGGCATGGTCACTCCTGGCTAACTGCTGCCTGTGTCCCTAACAGAAGTTATTTGTTTTACAATAACTTCCAATGACAGGGGGCTTAAATCAAAATAGAGTATACCTTGGTATTTGAAAAATGCAAAAACTGTTTTCCTTTTCTATGTTTTGTGAGATGTTTTCAAAGTTGGTCATTATTACGGAGTGGTCATGATTGCTAGTAAGGATAGTTTTGTCAAGCTGGGGTTTTCAATCCCTGTTGTCTCCATAGAGAAAACTGGTACAGATGATAATTAGGGTGTGGTGCTCACATCTGTTATCCTAGCCCTTGGCAGTTGGAGGCAGGATGGTCAGGAGTTCAAGATCTTCCCTGATTACATGAGACCCTGTCTTAGAGAGTCGAGGGGGGTGGGATTACATAAGCTATCAATTAACTTTGCTGATAGTAAATCTATGTCTATATTAAATGATAATGAATTAACTAAAATCTATGTAGTTAACTATACTGAATATTTTCCATAAGGGGTAAAAGACTCAGTTATGCATAAATAACATTTGAACTACATCATTATGTCTGTTCTGCATAAGTGTGTGCATGCTTGTGTGTGTTATGTATGTTTGTGTTGTTTGTAGGTGTGTTATGAAGGTATTGTGTGCATTTGTATTGGGAGTGTGTTCTGCGTACATGTGTGTTGTGTGTGTATTATGTGTGTTTTGGGTGTGTTTGTGTTGTCTGTGCATTGTGGATATATTGCAAGTGTTGTGTGGAATGTTGTATTTTTGTTTGTATTGCGTGTGTGTTATGTGTGTATATTATGTGTGTGTTTGTATTGTATGTATGGTGACTGTCCTACATCTTGGCATACTGAAGTTTAGGAAAAATGATGGGAAAGACAGATGAGGTGTCAATCTCTTGTCTGAATTAATTAGTGAAACCATATCCAGGAAGACCCTGTAATTTCCCTCTAGCCGTTTGAAATCCATATCCTCATTTTGGGGAAATAGTTTTTACTTTTCCTGATGATTCATTTGGGAATTTTACAGCTGTGTAAACACGTTTGAACAAGTTTGCAATACTTGGTATATGTGAAGTTTTCTTGTGTTAAGAATTATTCAAATGCTCTTAATATTTTAAAGCAAATTTTAATATATGATAGCAGTTTTTATGCCTAGTATCTTAGCTGTAGATCCACAACCCTTATTCCTTCTCTGACTTGATAAGATACAAATGTAAATAACTAGTATTCTATGATTTCTCCTTTCTGAGCATAAATATGCCATTTCGAAGATAGCTTCACCAGGGTGTTAGGAATTTAACGTTGCATGGTGGGTGCTGTTCTCCTGAAGCTTGGGAGCAAGGGTCAGCAGGATTAGACAGTAGTTATATGACAATCTGCCCTAAATCCATGGCAGTTTAGTTTAAAAATGCTCTATGTGAATCAAAATATTACAAATTCACTATAACTTCCAATTTGAATATTACTGGACCTGAAGCTTTCAAATGATAAAAAGAAATGCAATAGAGCATTTCTAATATCCTATTTTTAAAATTTTTACTTTTGCAAGTGTATGTGTGTCTGATGTGAATAGTATGGGTTAGCAGGTCTGCATGTGTGTGGATGCCTTCCTCCATGGCTCCCCATCCTATGGACTGAGGCCAGGTCTCTCCCTTGAACTCAGAGCTGACCATCAATCCTGCTAGTGTAGCTAGCCAGCTTGACCTGAAAGAGTCCCTGGCTCTACCTCCTAGCCATGGGGATGACAGATGAGCCACAACTCCCATCCAGCATTTAAAGGGTGCCAGGGCTCAAACGTTGTCCTCATGCTTGTGCTGCAAGAGTTTTACCCACTGAGCCCCTACCAAGCCTTCCAAAGATCTGTTAAGTTTAGAAAACCAAATAAATGACCAGTTCACAGTGAGATTATATGCCTTCTGACTTAGTGAAATGACCCAAACTTGGTGTCTCCAATCAAGACAGGGTAATTCCTAGTGCTTCACTTCATGGACTTGCTCTCCCTTGTCCAGAGTTCAACTGTTAGCATGTCCTTGTATGCTGACCATACGTCTTTTCTCCAGCTACAACTTTGCTGGTTTGTGGATTAGACTCTCCCAGCCACTGGTGTCATCACAAGGCAAGATATTCAAAGGTTTCCTCTCTCTTTTTCTTCTGACATTCTTTTTACTTTTTTAAAGAATTTGTTTTTATGTGTATGTGTTTTGCCAGCATGTATGTTTACACCCATGCATGCAATGCTAGTGGAGGCCAGAAGAGGGTGTTGGATCCCCTGGAGCTGGGGTTACAGAATGTTGTTAGTGGTCATGTGGGTGCTGGAAACCTAACCTGAGTCCTCTGTAAGAAGAGCCAGTGTTCTAAACTGCTGAGTCACCTCCCCAGCCCCTCTTCTGACCTTCCTAACCATTCATTGCAGTCATCAGAGTTCCTAGGCCTCAGAGCTTCCTTTGACTTCAGAGTCCTGCCTGGTTAGATCAAATTTGAAGCATGCGATAAAGGGGAAGGGGAAGGAGGTGGAGTTCTGTTACCCGGAAATTGCTAGATTAAGCTCTAAGGAGGGAACTGAACATATAC